GTTGTGATCATACAGTTGTGACGGTAAGGTATGATATTGACGAAAATAGCACGTGAACCATGCCTCAAATGCATAACCCTTAATCCAGTATTCCCGCGTTTCAAATAGGGTATTTAAGTCCGGTGTTTTAAAAATATATACAAACATGGTACGCAGGCAAATATCAGAAGCGCAAAGATGGTAAATAGTCGGCATGTACTCGACAAGAATAGCCTTCAAATCTGCTGTACGTCAGATGGACTATCACTATACAGTAATCAGCCGACTGGTCAGTCAACCAACTTTGTGAAAGACTTTCCGACAGACTACCTGTAACGACTCAGCGTGAAGACAAGGCACTGCATCGCTTGGTTAGACGGATGGCATCGCTCTTAAACGCCAATTGCTACCCAATAGAGTTTTTTCAACAAGAACAGTAAGGAACCGTTTGAAGTCAGCGGAATAAAGTCAATTCATCGTCCCATGTTATTTAAAAACTTTATTTATTTTACAACAATTATGAAACAAGTTTTTACAGCTTATACTAATCACTCTTGTTGTTCAGGATATTAGCGCCAGGGGATTTTATTGTGGGAGGAAACCGGATTACCCAGAGCAAACCCACGTGGTCGGTCGGGTGACCCCATACCTTTTCACGTCCGATCGGGAAATCGAACCACGACCGCCTTGATGAAAGGCAAGTGCACTATCCACTGCGCCAACCTACTACTCATGTTAACAGACCGACATTAAAGATTACGTTTGGTTTTATGTTTAGCTGTACGTGGTTGGAATTTGAGGACCTGACGGGGGATCCATTGTTCAGACAAAAACTGGTTTCTTCATCAAGTCACCGATAGACGAATGAATGTTTGGAGTAAGAAAAATACGGCGTATACCCCAAGGAGAAATATCGCGCCAACTGTCCTTTACGGTTGAGGTTCAGTAATTATTGTTGGGCTATATCGCTCATGATCGCACTAGGATAGAATACGAGGAAATCAAACAGATAATCAGTTCATCAGAAACGTCTTACAACCAGTTATTGTCCACAATGTTGACAACCACCCACTAGTAGCAAGGCCTGTGTTTATGGATGACAACGCTAGACCTCATCGTTCAAGGGCAGTAACTATCTACCTTCAAAGCGAAGCTGTGACTTCTCTTTCCTTGTTGCCAGACATAAGCCCGGGTGGGAATCCGATGGAGCATGTTGTGGAGTTGATAGACTGTGGTGGTTACACTCGATATCGAACGTTTGAACCATGCATTCTGTAAAGTGACTAAGAAGTGACATATAGAACTCGAAATATACAATAGTATCGTGCTTTATAAACTGTTGATGTCAGTACTAAAAGTTGGCCGTATGATTGTTTGACATTAAATTAATATTTCTGTTGATATTTGGTGTGTTTTCTTACAGCTAATGCGGGGGCTTAACAGGTCACATTTGCGTTTCCTGGGTTATTTGGTCAGTAATCCCATTACACAAATTAGATCAATTGTCAATGAAAAAGAAATATATACATGTAAAAGCATTTGCTATTATCAAATGTACAAATTGCCCTTCATACAAGTACCTGTGATGCAGTATAAGAAAAGCGCTACAGTATTTTCTGATGTAATCTCTTATTAGCACACAACGTTTACCGAGGAAAATGTTCAGTTAACTATTAGTTTTCTAGATAAAACGCGTTACTTATCTGGTATGTGTAATTTAATATGGTAATATTTGCATGTTAAATAAAGCAGGATATTGATTTAGTATTTGCCCATACATGTAGTTCAAAATGAAGCTTTCTAAAACCTTAGTTATTTGCTTAAAGTCGATCAAGGACGTTTCTCACATGCCCCGTCGGGAAACGCACGAGGTTTCTGATTTTGAACAAAATAATTTCCTCGTTACGTACAACACTTGTTTTGCTCAAGGTTCCTCATATATTGCTTACAAATCTGTGCCATTTTTCTAATATGATTATCATTTTGAATGTGTATTATCTTATGTATGCTACTGCAAACGCCTTCTGAACATCGCCGTGATTCGTCCTTCATGCGCATATAAACAAGTTCTATATTCGCCGTTTTTCTCAAAACCAGTGTCAATTTAAACAGACTTTTGCAAGTAGCTTTCAATGATTACTCCCTTTGAGAAGACATTTAAGCAAGATAAATGAAGCACTTCAAAAGAACTGTTTAACGCATTTAAAGAAATCATTTTCACGTTTCAACGAGGTAACTATCATGTTAGATAACGGAAGCATTTTAACGAGAACTTTATCCAGATTGGTATCGGTAGGCCTCCGTACTATTGTTTTATCAAATCTAATCTTTCAGTATTTTGTATGTCCCTAGAATAAGATATCAACGTACGAATACCTGTTTTATGAGACAAACATTTACTTGTTGCTATATATTTGTGGGATATCTATCTATTTCATTTACTTTACAATACAAATATATTGGACACAAAAATGCAGCTTGATAATAATGGGTGTTTTTTTTGTCTAATGCTATACATTGTTTTTATTTCGTATTGATTTTAAACACATGTAACTTATTGGTTTTACCATCGTGTCACACATGCTTTGACACCCACAGTTATCTAAATGTGATAAAGTGTAGTGCGTATGTCATATATCACTACCCTAATACACATTTACCAAATCGTTCTCTTATCTCCTTCTGTAAACTTCCTGGTGTCGATACGGGTGGAGCTTGACGAGAGCAACGGCTTTTCATTCTTTACCTTCAGCATGACATCTGGCAGGAGCAAACATGAGATCTTACAACTTATTGTTATAGGATGTTGGGCTGGTTTCCCTCAATTTGTTTATTCGTCATGTAAGTAATATCCCATTTATATTGGCTATAATCACAACGAACTATAGAAGTAATTTGAAGTATACTATATCAGTATTTAGAAATAGCCTTATAAGTATCCAGCTTTAATTTAGATGATAATACTTTATGTTTAAATTTCACTCTTTCACGGATTAATGACAACTACAGTGTAACAAGATAGATACCGAGCCAGATTTCTTATCGTACATATAATTGCTATATATGTCTAGTCAGGACGTTAGTCACAGCTTTCATACATATGAGGTGTAGACGGTAGTTCGTGTTTGACAACAGAGATAACATTTTTGAGAGATCAACCCTTTAAATCCAGCTAAGCGTTGTGTATATCAACAGTGAAAGGACACACTCATACGTCTGTGTGATATTTTATAATGGTATATTCACATATGTGTTTGGCAATGGCAAACTCTCTCAAATGATCTTTAGCAAACAGACCATCTACTTTGTATCACCTAAAGTTGTATATGGGCCTTCTTCATAAACTCTAAACATAATTTACTAACAATTTGTAGTACGTGACAATTGTAGCTTACACTATGAAAAATAGGTAATCAACAACCTTGTTTTTGAGGACATTGTTTTTGTTTTCTTTGTTTACTTAAAGTATAAATTTGATGAGCAAGATTCATTCAAAAGCACTATTTAAATATTATTACGAAATGCATGCATACTGCTTTCATTCTGGTAGATAACATTGCACAAGGAAAGCGAGCGTCACAGAGTTCTGTCTACGGCGTGTGGGGAGCTGACAAAGCAGTAGATGGTGTGATAGGGAAAGATGTTGGAGGAGGAAGTTGTAGTAGCACGAACCCAACAGGATCATCGACGGCATGGTGGATTGTTGACCTTCAACAAATGTCGAGGATAAAAACTATAAATATCACGTACAGACAGGATTGTAAGTAATGGTATTTGCTAAACACACTAGTGTATTTATTGTGGGAGAGTATATGAGTATAAAGCAGATGAGAAAATGTTGCAAAAAAA